TTTTTTTTTTTTTTTTTTTTTTTTTTTTTTTGAGGTATTGAATGAATAATCAGCAGTTTGAAGCCTAACTGATAAAGACAGGTTGCAAATACGTTTTTATGGATTCTCTCCATTTATCAAATGAACAGGTATTTCTTCAAAACTACTGTTGCTAGTAACTTCTTATTAGGGTTATCTGTGCCTTTTTATAATTTACTGTGTAACCGTTTACTGGTCACCATGCTGAAGCTCCTGAGCATTTAGTATAGTTCAACTAAATTATACTTTCTCATTCTTCTCAACCCTCACAGTGTAATAGAATTTCCGATATAAGGTGTTCTGATGAACATGTTTCCAAGAAATACTGACCAAAGGTTTTTTTGCGCCATTTTTGAAATAGGGTTTGTTTGCTGACTCTAAATTTCATGAACCTGTTAAGGAAAATTTACTGCCACAATTGCGTGGGTTCAGTGAACTTCGTAGAGAAGACAAGTACAAACGAAATGCTGCAAATGAAGATCACCAGGCGAATGTGGGCAGGGGGATACCTGAGAAGGAGAGCTCGAAAAGATTAGGTAGTTTTAAAAGCCTACTCTATTTCATTCAGTGCTTTCATTTGTTTCCTATAAATTTTTCTTTCTTACAGGATTTGGGCTTGGAAGTTATAGGGTTGTACCAAGACCATTTGATGATCGATTTAAGCCTTCAGTCGGTGTTCACTTTCAGCAATTACGGGATGAAGAATTCTGGATAGAGGGAGGGAGTAGGAATTGTCTACCAGTCAAGTAATTTTTTTGCTTTAACTGCTTTTGAAGTTAGGGTTTTTTTATGCAAAGTCACTTAAACGAATTGAGACAAAGTTTAGTTTTTCAGCTTCTCAAAAACTTGCCAGTGAGAACGAGAGCTGATTTTTAAAGCTTACGTGAACTTCTATTTGAGGTTTATGTAACAGAAGTTTTAGTTCTTTCGAAGATATGGATTTACCACGTCAGTTGCGCGATAATATCAGCAAACTTCATTACAGTGAACCATTGCCTATTCAAAGAGCTACTTTTTCCTTAATTGAAGAAGGTAAAGTGGGAAGTTTTAAACATGACTTTGTTTTTGCTTTTTCCGTGTCTGATGTTCTAGTTTGCAGGTTTTCATGTTGTCGGATTTTCAAGAACTGGTTCAGGAAAAACCGCGGCTTTTTTGATTCCAATTATTAAATGGATTATCACCTTCAAAAAAACCAATCATGGTGCGAGTCATCTCTTATTTTCAAAATTTCCCTCGCATCTTTGTTTTATTTATATTGCTTTATTTGTAGTGCTGAGGACGCATCAGTCGCCTTGCTGTATTATTTTATCACCCACTAGGGAACTTGCTGAACAGTTATTTAATTCGGCGAAAGAACTTTCAACTGGTTAGTTCGTTTTACTGCATACAGCTTGAGAATGACAACTTTGCGTGTCGAAATAATTTGTGGATTTAATGTTACCCATAATAGTTAACATTACGCGACTGTTAGTTGCATCGTTTCTGACATCAGATTTCATTAGGGACGTGTTGTAAAGTTTTAATTTCGATGGGGGATACCCGAAGAGTAGCTGATATAGCTTCTTTGAAAGGAGGATGTGATATATATATTGGAACTGTTGGTCGCCTTTGTGACTTTGTGAGCAATGGTGAAGTACGTGCTTTTGAAAAGTCTTGTGGCGTTCATTAATTACGAATTGCTATTCCTCATATTCGTTCTTTTACATTTTTGTAATATAGGAGCAGTAAATCGGTGCGTTCGGTTACACTTTAATTTCAGCTAGATTTAAGTGGAGTACGGTTTCTTGTTATTGATGAAGCTGATGACCATACTGAGAGAGCAGAGCTTTTGGAAGAAATTAGTGAAATAATCCTTAAAAGATGTCAAGAAGTGAGTACTTTTTTGTTTTAACTTTCAGTTTGTAGTTTTTATTAAGGTGAACATGACTCTATTTGCATCTTGAAATCCTGTTGTCGTTTGTCTTTGCTTTTTTCATCTATACGTTTTCTTGCGTTTTAGTCATTTTAAGAATTTGCTTAAGCGTCATGTAAATGGTTTCTTTTAGAATGAAGATCTTCAAATGTTGCTGTTTACTGCAACAATGAGTGATAAGTTATTGGATTTTGCGAAACAATATATGCGACCATCATTTGCAAAGGTGTTAATTGGTGATCTATCCTCAGTTAGCCCGGACGTAGAACAACGAATTGTATTGGTTAGTTCTTTGAAGTTCACTAAGGACTTGGAATTAGTAGTTCGCACGTGTAGGTCTGACTTTGTTTATTTTCTCTGTTTTGAAAGGAAGCAAAATTGTTTAAATGGTCATAAAATAGATTTGCTTTCAAGTTACTTGCCTTGTAAACATTAGTTTTAGCTTTTTTGTAATTTAGGTTACTGAGCAAAATAAAAGGCATAATCTTATTGCAATTCTGCAGAGGGAGCTTAAAAAGAGTGAGTTTTATGTTTCACTTTGTTTTATCATTTTTCTGCTAAAGTATGTGTTATTTTTGAAAAATGGTGCTGAGCGCTGCGGATTTTTATTAAAATTTTGCCCTAGGTATGTTTTTGAGGAAGTATTTACAATTTTAGACCCACATTCCCGAATTATTGTATTTACAAGAACCAAGCGTCGAAGCACAGCACTGTCCTGTTATTTATCATATTATAACATAACAGCTTATCCAGTTAACGGGTTAGTGTTTAGTGGATAATATCATTACTTTTCTTTCCTGCATAAATTCTACGAGTAATGTTTTTCTGTAAACTTGTAATATATATGTTATTGGCGATTTTTTTCTGCTTCAAATTTGTATTTTCTCTAATTTTTCTGAACAAGTGGCTTAGATAAAATTGCTCCGATTTCAATTGTAATTTATTTGTCATTTTCAACATTTGAAATTTCTATGATATCGTTGGTTCCAACCGCTAGTACCACGACAGTTTTACAGCAGTATGACCACGAATTTGCGTCACGAAGGATTAGAAGCTTTTTTGAAAGGTGATTGTTCAGTCGTTGTGGCAACGGACGTTTTAGCGAGAGGAGTTGACTTGAAAGATATATCGATGGTAAGGTTTTGAATTCGAAAAAAAATCGCTCCTAAACTTTTCGAGTCGATTTTTTAAATAACGTCGTTGTGGTGAGTTTTGGAAGTTAGATTTTTTTATTTTTTTTTTTAACAGTTAGTTCAAGTCGAAAACCTGATTTTTAAAAATCACTTTGCGGGATAGCAGCTATGCATCTTTTTTTTTTTCAAGAGCTTATTTTCTGTTAAATTTTACTAAAGGCTCGTTACCAGTCTCTAGCTTATTTCGCAAAATGTTTTTGTAACACCAGATTGGCTATTCCCTGTTTAACTATCTTGAAAAGCTCCGCATTTTATCTCTTCAAGTTTCGACAGCCCTTGGCATCGCTCTTTTTGGTTCTCAATATCCGTTCAGCCTTGACCTACGTATAACTTTCAACCATTCCAGGTTATCAATTACGACTTGCCGCCTTACGACAGGTGGTCATTTTATGTTCATAGGCTCGGACGGACTGCACGCCTCGGGAACAACGGCAAAGCAGTAACTTTTTATGATCGGTCTGTCGACTTGAATATGGCCCATCGTCTTTGTGAGGTGAACTAGATTTTTTTTCTTTCTTGGAGGTTTGTGTTTAGCAGCTTCCTAGTCCAAACTTCTTTATACTTCTTACGATCAGCACTATTTGTACCGAGTTATTTTGCATTACGGTTGAGGACAACTTTTTTTCAGTGGTTAATTAACAATCATCAGCACGCTCCAGCTTTTTTGGTTGATGACGCTCTCTCTTTGTATGGTGCTGAAGAACTGGCAGATAGAGCTCAAGAAGAATACATAAGAGAGCTTATTGGAAGAAATAGAGAATCTATATTCGATACCGAGGACGAGTCAGAGTAATAGTTTGTCTGCGAAGAAAATTGCTTAGGTGCGTGTGCAAGTTATATGACAAAATCACACGTGAATGTTTTACAGTATATTTTCCCAAAGGCTCATTGTTTATATGAAGTCTAGTGGAGCGTGTTGAAATGAACTGACTCCACGAGTCCCAGCATTTCAGTTGCTTTCTTTGAGAAAGTCAGAGATTATATCCCATTTTTCTTATTTCATAGGTGGCACTCTTGTAGTCTTACCTCGAGTTTTAGTTAAAGCCTGTTTTAAAAAAATATATGTGAAGCTGCCGAGTTTTTCACGGCTTGAAATGAGGTATTGTCAGCTTGAAACTTGTTGTGACCGCCCCATATCAGTGAGCACGAGTTTTGGGGGTTTGAAATTAATTAGAACACTTTGTCATTGGAGACGTTCAGTAGAAGTAGCATGTCTTACTAGTCATACTGCACTGTTTAAGAGATCGGCTGTTGGGCTTTAGTACTGTTGTGATCAAAAGTTAAGTGCCTTTTTTACATCTATCCTATGAGAACTTTTGTTTCTGACGTGTAAAATTTATTCAGAGCTACAGTTACAAGTTTTGGCTGCATTTAAAGGGCTCCCGAAGTTTAAATATGATTGCCACCTCTTCCTTCCAGACCTTCGCCTTCTTTATCGCTCTTTTTAACAGTTAACTGAAGCGGTTTATCCTTAACTCTTTAAAGAAGAGCTGCACAAAAAGAAGGGAGACATTTGTTGAGTTGGGTTGAGGGGATGAACATATTTGACTAGTCACTTCCATATACGTGTGCAATTCATTCTCAATGATTCCTCTTGCTCCTTAACCCCCCCCAAACATTTTCATTTACTGGACACTCCTCTGAAACGATATCTCAGCTCTACCAATGAGCCTTCATAAAAGGAATGCCGCCACGTCATTGCCGCAAGTTTTTTGAGTCTGTTTTTTGCATTGTAACTAATTTTAAAAGAAGCTGTATGAAATTTTTACGTTGGTGTTTGTTACGCAGTTTTGATGGTCGACCAGTGCACATAAGCTTTTAAGTTTTTATTACGGCGTGGCATACTGCGCGCCAAGGTTCTGTCCAGCGTCTCATTCAGCTTTTTGGGCTGTACGTGTAAATCTCCGGACACTTAGATTCTTAGTATTATTAAAATTCGAAATTCATGCTCCTCACTCCAGTTCCATCTCTCGAACTTGCGACAGAAAACTAAGAAAGTGGTAGTCTTCACCTTTTGCGGCGCACTCATATTTGTTGACAATACTTGAGGGCAGGATATGAGACCTGTTGTTCGCCGCAAAGGTTACTTTTATCTTTCTCATTACATCCACAGGCAATACGAAATTTATGATAGCCCTACAAAACCTAATCATTATATTATGAATTTCTTCACGGATGAAGTTTGAGGTTCCATCAAATGATTCCATATGCACTGGACAGTCTAGCTGATCTAATTTCTGCAATTATTTTGAATAGGACATAGTACTCCACTTCATTTTCGAAGCAAAAGGACTATCTGCTGGACGTGCAGCACATTAATGCAGCAGATCTCGGCTTTTTAAACGAAGCCGAGACTGAGTATTTCTCAGTAACCTGAATACTTTGAAAATGATGGTTAGGAAAGGTATGTCCGTTTTCATTTTCCCAAAGCAAGCTACTGTACTCTTACTCAAACCAAGGTGCAACTCCCGGATATACGGCTTTATGAATAATTCAACATCAGTAGTCCTTCCGTTATTAGGCCTGGAATAAAGTATCTGGAACTGTTCACTGCCATTCTTACAAATTAGCAGCTCCAATCTCCGGATTTTCAGATGCAGTGACCCAGCTTGAAATTCTTGTACAGCGCCAACAACCTACTTTCTGTTCGTGGTACAACTTGACTCAGGGCTGCCCTAAAAAAACCTATATATGGAGCATATGGTATACTTTATCTAAAAACGCCAGAACGCCAGAAAACAATCCGAAACTTACATGAAATGCTTCCTTTCAAGAAACACAGAGTTTTTATCCTCCTTCAAAGCTACCAAAGCAGCACAACGATATACGGCAACGACTTCTGCTCCCGAATATCCTTCCGTCCTTTCTACTAGTTCCTCTATGTAGTCACATCTATCAATATTTTTCGATTGAAGAGACAATATAGATTTGCTGTAAAAGAAAAGTACAAACAGCCTTCTAACTTTGAAAAAGAAAAGTTCCTTTGGAAATAGTATAACGTAATTTCAAAAGGTCCCTTTTCTGTGTAACTCTTTAAATTACTTGTGTCCTTAACAAAGTTTTGCCTTGAAAAGGAACCTGCCAATGCAGGGACGGTTACTGAAAAATGAAGGTCTAAGATTTCTTAGACAAAACAAGAGAAACAAAAGAGAGATGGGGTACCGGGCATCTGCATCAGGTAGGGGGACATAAATAGTCTTGTCGAGGCGACCCGGTCTAAGTATTGCTCCGTCTAGCATATCCGGTCTATTTGTAGCTGCCAGAACAATTACTCCGCATTTCTTCTCTAAGCCATCTGAAAATAAAAGCAGATAACGAAAATTTGTTATTCGCTCCTGATACCACGAGCCAACATTTAAGCCAGATTATCAGCACGCGACGGCGCATACTACGCACTGAATTATCCTCTTCGAAGACTTCAAATAAGTGGAAACTGGTAAACACAATACAGTCTTAATGCTCAAAGGAAATTGAACTTAAGAATAACATTATCTTCCTTTCATTCATAAATCATTCCGCAGTTAAAGTTTCTCGATGCACCTCAGCAAAGAGTGGTGAAGGCAGCAGAAGTCCACTACATCAATATTTTTACCGTCCAAGTGAAATTAATTTTGATAAAGCTTATTACCAAGTTCGGTGAGTAACTGAGCTAAGACACGGTCACCCACACCGCTATTCTTGTCTCCTCGACTTGCAGCTACCGCATCAATCTCATCAAAAAAAAGTACCGCTGGAGCTACCTAAAAAAAATTAATGTCAAGTAGATTAAACATTACTTTGGGTTTTTGCTTTTTTCATAGGTGCTAACGGAAAATGACCTAGACTAGGAGCAATAGAAAAAGTTGGAGGCAAGGTCAAGAAATAGCTATGAAAACGACTTTACATAAGTGGACGTACGTACAAATGAATTATTAACAGCTGTTACCTGACGAGCACGTCGAAAAAGATCTCTGATGGCACGCTCAGACTCTCCGACCCACTTGCTAAAAACTTCTGGCCCCTTGACTGCTAAAAAATTAAGTTGCGACTGTGACGCGAGAGCTCTTGCAACCATCGTTTTGCAGCATCCAGGTGGACCGTAAAGTAAAATACCAGATGGAGCTGGGATATTAAAGCGTGCGAAGGACTCGGGGAACCGCTGTGGCCAAAGTACAGACTAAAAATCAATTTACACAAAAATATGCGTCAGTAGTGCTGCTATTTAATGAAAATCATATTTGCATTCATGAAATAATTAGTGAAATTTTGCCTGCTTAATTTCATCTTTTAATTCTTCATAGCCTCCAATATCTTCCCAAGATACATCTGGAACTTCTAATACAATTTCTCTAATGCCCGTTGGGCGAATTTTTTTCGTTGCGTCAACTATCCTGTCCTTCAGAACATTTTTGTCGACATCCAAGCCGGCAGCAAAAACTAGTTTTTGAATACAGCGTAGATCCGAACCAGTATACCCGTGGGTGTTGCTGAAATCTATTGTAGCTTAACCAGTGTGCCGGCGACACTATAGCTCCCAAACAGTAAAACCGAATAAAATGGAAGGCTTAACCTGGCAAGGTTGAGGATTGCATCAGAATCCACATTTTTACAGTTTTTAAAGATAATTTCGAGAATTTCTATTCTTTCACGCAAAGAAGGTACTGCAAGTTCAATTTCTAAAGAAAACCGCCGGCGCAAAGGAAGACTTAATTTGTCAACATCGTCTACCGCCAAAATAACTGCTACTTCCTCGTGCTTATCCATAAAACTAAATTTTAAATTACGTTTAACTGAAATTTAAATAAAACGTGCTACTTTAATCTGATTTTTTGTGAAAGTTAAACTGAAGTAAACAAAACGAATTGGAACTAAGGCAGCAGGCACTAGAAGCGTTTGAAGTTTATGTTGGAGTGGAAAAACAGAAGGATTTCTCAACCATTGAACCTTAAAATATCTCTCCCTTGATTCTGATACAGAAAAGCTGCGAAATGCGACTGAACGTCTTCATTTCTTCTCTAGTGTCTACCGTCCACTCATATATAAATTAATTCCTTCCTCTGCAGTATTTTTCGTGGATGTTTTAGCTCAAACTCTAGTAACTAACTAAATTCCTTCATATACAAAGACCGCCCAACCAACTGCCAGATAATTCACAGAGCTCATTCTTTAAATAATCGAAAAACTGTACTGTTTTCTTTCCCATCCTCCTAAAATTAAGTCTTCAAAATTCCTTGAAAGAAACTGACCCTCGAATTGTTAACCTCAAGAAAAAGCCTAATCTCTGGCCCTCAATGGAATGCCCTTTCTGATTACGCTGAAAAAATTAATCTGTTGTGTCATCACATGGCATCAAAAATCCTTCCAGTTACTGTTAAGCCTACTTCGACTTACA